GGTGACTGCACAGAGGAATTTGTCTGCAGCGCAGCCTCCTGGACCTTCCGCCCGCAGGTAGGGGATGTGGTGGCCAGTGGACCCTCTAAGGACAAAATGCAGGCAGAGAATAGTACAGGTAAAAAGATGGGTTTGTTTATTTTAAGAGATTTATTTACTTATTTGAGTGAGAGCAGACGAGAGGGGCAGAGCGAATGTCAAGCAGACGCAGCCCACTCTGAGCTGGGACCAAGAGTCACAGGCTTCACTGGTGGCACCCCCGGGTGCCCCTGAAACCAGGTTTTCTTCATGCCCCGTCAGGGGTTGAACCCTCTGAGTGTTGTGCGTCTCGGGCTCTTTTCCTCCCCTGGGAGGGTCAGTGAGGTGAAGTGAGATAAACGTCTCCTCTGAGTGTCACCGAAGTGGATGCGGAGCCCAAACCCCCCAGGTCTCCCCGCACAGGCAGGTGGAACAGAAGAGGACGTGCGGCCTAGTGATTTGCCCCCTGCAGGAGCAACCTCCTGCCTCCTGGGCCCTCAGCTTCACAGCAGCCCCAGTCCAGCGGCGGCCCAGGGGATCCAGGGGACAGAGGGGACGGAGGGGACTGAGGGGATTGAGGGAACTGAGGGGACCGAGGGGATCAAGGGAACCGGGGGACCCGGGTGGGGGATTGAGGGGATTGAGGGGACTGAGGGGACTGGGGGGACTGGGGGACCAGGGAGATCAGGGGGATCGGAGGTACTGAGGGTACTGGGGGGACTGGGGGACTGAGGGTACCAGGGGACCGGAGGATCAACGGGACTGAGGGGATGGGGGGATCCAGGGGATCAGGGGGACCGAGGGGATGGGGGGACTGAGGGGATGGGGGGATCCAGGGGATCAGGGGGACCGAGGGGATGGGGGGATCGAGGGGATCAGGGGGACCGAGGGGATGTGGGGACCGAGGGGATGGGGGGGACCGAGGGGATGGGGGGACCGAGGGGATGGGGGGGATCGAGGGGATCAGAGGGACCGAGGGTACCGAGAGAGCCGAGGGGGCCGAGGGGATCCCCGTCCAGCAGCTGTGGCTCTCACCCCGCCCAGCGCTCAGCGCCCGGATGGCCCGCCCCGGGAGCTCGGGGAGCCACAGGCCCGGCCCCCCGCGGGGTGATGCCCCCCCCCCCCAGCCGCGCGGGTCACGGTCACCCGCTTGGGTTCCGGGGCCCGGCTCCTGCGTGCCCCCCCCCCCGCCTCACCCCTTCCCGGGGCAGGTGTGGGCCGTGGGGAGCGCAGGGCGTCCTGTGGTCCCCGCAGAGCAGCTTCCGCAGCAGCCGCCCCCCCCCCCGCCCCGCCCCAGGTGCACCGGTCACCGACCGCCGCTGCATTCCCCGCATTCCTCCGAGGCTCCAGCCGCCGGCGCGTCGGGAGCTGCGTGGTCCCGGCCGTGCCCCCCCCAGCCCCGGAGACGAGCGCCAGGTACGGCGGGGGGAGGATGGGGGGGCCGGGGTGGGTGCGGGCGGGGGCGGCCGAGGGGCGACGGGCGGGGTGCGGGGGGCCAGGGTGGGTGCGGGCGGCGGGGGTGCGGGGGGGGGCCCGGCCGGGGTGGGGGCGGAGCCAGGGTGGGGTGAGGAGTGGGGTGGGGGCCGCGGTGGGGGCGGCCGGGGTGGGTGCGGGCGGCGGGGGTGCGGGGGTGCGGGGTGGGTGCGGACCAGGGTGGGGTCGGGGTCGGGGTGGGTGGGTGGGGGCCGGGGTGCGGGGGTGCGGGGTGGGGTCGGGGTGGGTGCGGGGCCATGGGGTCGGGGCGGGGCCCCCGGACTGTGTCGCACTTGCCACGCTGCCGCGGGGGTGCGGGTGCGGGTGCGGGTGCGGGTGCGGCGCCGCTTCTCCCTGCGGACCCCGAGCGGCCGCGGGGCTCCCGGACACCCGGACACCCGGACGGACACCCGGACACCCGGACACCCGGACACCCGGACACAGCCCGAGGGCGGAGGGAGGGGCCCGGGGCGGGTCGCTGAGGCAGGGGGGCGGCGTGGCGCGGCGAAGGCTGCGGGGCGAGGTGGTGGGGGCTGGTCCAGGGGACCTGAGCCGTGACCTGCCGAGACCTTCCCGGCCCGCTGCTCCGGCAACAGTCCCCGCCACCCCCCAACCCCGCGGGTGACAGGAGGACCGAGCAGCAAGTACCTAGCCGCGAGCTCGGTGCACGTGCTGGGGGGCCGCGGGACCCCGTGACACGGGTGACCCCCCCCACCCCGCCCCCCGCTGCTGCAGAGACATCGGCCGGGATCCGGCCCGAGCGCAGCGCTGACCCCTCGGCTGAGCCCCAGAGGCGGAGCCCGAGGGTCCTGGGGGGAGTCCGGGGGTGCAGAGGGCAGGTGCTCGGGAGGGGGTCACACGGTGCCCTGGGTGAGCCACAGGCTTCCTTCTGGGAGACAAGCCGCCAGCCCCACCCCCGCAGTGCCCCCTGGGTGCCCCGGCCGGTTGCCAGCGCCCCAACATCACCCTGTCACCCCGGGGGGCTGCCCTGAGCCTTAGGGGACATGGTCCTTGGGGAGGCACTGCTGGCTGAGCACCTGCTGCTGCCCCAAGTTGACAAAGGGCTCTCCCCACGTCCTTAGCTTCCATCTCGGAGGCGACCTGGTCACAGAGGCCAGGCAGGCATCAGCTCCATTTTGCAGAGAGCAAAACTGAGGCTCAGAGAAGGGAAGAGCAGGAGCCAGAGGCCCAACAACCACTGAGCAGAGGCAGCTGACTCAGTGTGTCCTCAGCTCCCACGCCTGGGACCCAGCACCCTCCTAATGTGGCCTGTGCACCTTCCTTGTCAAAGCCATCGTCCCCTAGGAGAGACCCCACCTCCCTTGTGCTCCCCCAAGCTTCCTTTTGGAGAACAGACGAGCCGTCTGTGCAGGTCACCCTTGTGTCGCCGAACTCGGAGGGTGGCGTGACTGTGGGGCTCCGCCCGGGGCGCTGTGAGTGGGGGGAGCAAGGAAGGGGCCCCGGGAGCCTGGGGTGCCCCTCGCCTCCCTCTCAGAGCCCCGGCTGCGCCATGTGTGGGGCTCAGCTGACTCCGCTTCAGGAGGGAGGGCTGGGGACCAACCAGCTGCCAGGTCAAGGTGACCCCATTTCCCACGGCCACCCAGTGTCTTGTTTTCCTGAATGTCCTTTCACCGGGACCTTGTCACTGCAAATGTCCGGGGGAGAGGTGTGTTCAGGGGACAGTTCGGGAACGCCCTGACCCAATTTCCCCGTAGATTCTCCGTTTCACCCAGTGTCCCCCGTCACAATCTCCACATTCGCAAGGTGCGTCCTACTTGGTAGGCCTCTCCGTCCGCTCTCCCTCCCCCACCCCCTGCAGCTCCCCCTAACTCTCCTGCTCCCCTCGTCCGTGTGACTTTCCCGCTCCCTGGTTGGCCCGACGCCAGGGCACAGACGGGCAGGACGCGGGCCCTGTCTCCCTCAGCGGCAGAGGGAAAAGTCCGTGGTGTGCCCTGACGCCGCCCGCATCTTCGCTTCGAATGTTCTGGTGCTCGGGGCTCCGGCTCCCAGCAGCCGCCCGCGTGGACTCGACTCCGCAGCCTGCGGCGGTCGTGGGGCCCAGCGCTGCGATCTCTGGGTCCCCCCCACAGCTCTCGGTTGGCCAGCCCGCGCGGGGGCAGGTCCCCGGCTCCTCACCAGTGAAACGGGGGGAAACATCCTCTCGTGCTGCGGGTTAACTGAGTTATGGTTTGCAAAGCACCCAGGACGGAGCCTGGCGCCGGCTGGCGAACGTAAGCACTGGGCATCACGCTCTCCAGTCGGCAGAGAGCACACAGGTCGCCTGTAGGTGACACGCCCCTCGACACCCGCTCGGTGGCCCGTAAGCCACGGATACGGCTTATTTGCCTGATGACGCCAGAGACCGTAGTGCTCTGCGAGTGTGCATCTTCACACTTTACAGCTGCACTCAGCACGCGGGCCTGCACGGCGACAGCGGGGGGCAGGCCGGGACCCCTGGGGGACCGCGCACGCTTGTTCTAGGGAACACGCTTCGGGATCCACCTCCACTCGCTGTGAACACGGGCCCAGGGCCAGGCGCCCGGGACGGCAGCACGTGCAGCTGCTCGAGCCTTCGGGCTCACGACGGAGAGGACGGCTCTGGTGGCCGCGGGGGTGGCTGACGAGAGAGGAATCGGACACCCAGTTTGCACCCTTGCTCCTCTCTCTGGGGACTGTTAAGTGAGCAAGAAGCACTCGGGACTTTGCTATTTCAGCTGTGGGGAGAGAGGGGGCATGGCCCGACCCCAAGGCCTCCCTTCCCCCCTTAGCGGGCGTCGCGATGCCATCACTTGGAGCCCAGCGCTCATGCCCGCGTCCACGCTCACGCTCATGCTCAGCAGAGATCTAGCTGGTCTCCCAGGCCCTTGGGCTCCCTGCTACTTGTTTTCAGAGTGTAGACGAAGAAGGCAGGTGCTGCGACCTCCTCCTGCACTTAGGGTCGGGGCAGCGCCTGTTGTCAGAAGAGGAAGGAAGCCAGCCAAGAAGGCAGCAGGAGAGAGAGAAGCAGGCGGGAGTCTGGGCGACCTTTTCTGCTCCCTCTTTCCTTTCACCGCCCTGTTCTGTGTGGTTTCCATGGGAATCTGGGGGAAATCTGGCGGGTGGCAGGCCCATCACTCTGCTTGTCCCCTTGTTCCCTTGTGGCACAGAGAGGAGGAGGAGGCAGGAGAAAAGTAAGCGTGCGGGTCAAGCAGCTTCTTAAGGTTCGTATCAAATTCTGGAGAAACCTAATAATTTTTGACGGGACCTTTCGAAAAAAAGAAATCACAATGGAAGAGTTCATTTGAAGGTCATCAGGTCAGGATCTGTCACTCTATGCACATTTCTCAATGTCCCCCCCCCCCGCCCCCCCGCTGGGCACCCAGTTCCAATTCCCAGCTCATGGTTCTCCTAACAAATATGTTGTATCATTTGTTTCTTTTCCAGAGAGAGTCAAAGAGGACCTCAAATTCTGGAGAAAAATGACCTTTTAAGGGACGCAAAGTGAGCCCCCCACTGCGTGCTTTCACCTTCCTTAAGCTCTGATGACTGAAACCCGCGGCCCCGGACCTGCACAGAGTCCAGCGGTTATCAGTCTTCTCATCATGCATCAACTGTTCAGACTGGTTTTAGGACAAAAAGACCTTTCACGGGCCGGGGACCTCTTCTCCTTAGATGACTCCGAGATTGAAGACAGCCTGACGGAAGCTTTGGAGCAAATCAAAATAATTAGCTCGTCTTCAGTAAGTAGACCCGTTTGTGAACTAGACACTGGAATGACCCATTCCGGAGCCCAACGATTGTACGTGTTTTGGGGGGAGGGGATCTTTGCAGGGGGAGGAGGGAGGGCCCTGAGCACCCCGTGTCCTTGTAACGGGGCCAGGTGGTTCAGTTCGGCATCTAAGGAGTAACTCCAGGCCAGACCCGGAGTCCGGGGGCCGCTGGACCGCCCTTCGCCCACTCAGGGAGGCCAGGCCTCTGGAAATCGTGGACCAGAGTGAGATTATCACGAAGGGCTCACCCAAGGGCTGTTTCTATGACCCGGAGAGGAGGCGAGTGGGGCTGTGCAACAGCCTCCGCAGACAAAGCAGGGTGTGTGCAGGGGGCTAGGGAAGGCAGGCAGGCAGGACGCACCTGTGGCCACCAGGTAACACGAGACGAGGACAAGGATGGCGCTGCTGCCAGAGGGGGCAGTTGCCCAGGCCTTGGTGACACTGGTTCTGTGGATTTTGTGTAGAATCTCCATTTAAGAAAAAAAAAACTCTCTTTACGCCGTTTTCTGTAGCGACGCATGTAACTGAACTCGCCCACCCCTCGCCTCGCGGGCGATCCCCATCCCCGCCCTTCCCTGTGGCCTTCCTCCGCGTCCAGGTTGGGCGTTTGGCAAGCGCCCCCCGAGCGGGTGGCTGTGGGCAGTGCCAGGGTGGCCCCTGCTGCTGCCCTCTGCATGGCACGTGGACCCCAGTCCCGTTCCCAAGGCCGACTGTCCCACGCGTGGCTTGCGTCCCCCCAGCTCCGAAGCATTTGCTGACACTTGGCGCCAGCAGCCCCCGGGCCCAGGGAAGGGACAGGGCTGGAGCCGTGACACCCTGAGTTGTCAGAAGGGCACCCGTCGCAGGCATTGCCACGCGTTCCGGGGGTCCATGAGGTGGGGGGGCACAGGGGGCCGGGGCCTCCCCCAGGCCTGGGGCGCGCTCCCTGCCCCAGCACGCCGCTCTCGGCCCGTGTCCTTGACACCCACCACGTGTTCAGGTGTTTGCGGAACATCGATTGCCTCCGTGTGACTCGAAACCCGAAGTGTTGGGTTCGGTTCCCACTTTCCCGGCAGGACGTGTGTGCTTCTCGTAGCAGCCCCTCCCTTCACACCCGGTGGGAATGAAGCTGAATATGCCACCGATTTTCGTGTAACCCAACGGAAACACACACACGTGTATATATATTCATGTATTTACATTTAAATGTACATATTTGTGTAAGTGCCCTGAAGCCTATTTCCACTAGAGGTCACTAGTGCCAGTGATTTCTTTTGTTCCCGTCACCAATGGCTTATTTCAACACTCGTCCAACTCAGAATTTGAGGGCCAGTGGGCCCGTTGCGCACCCCCACTTGTCGCCACTGAGGCAGGCAGGTGCCCTGCCGCCGGGAGCCGGGTCTGCCCCTCAAGCCCTCTGATGGGCATCGCAGCCGAGAGCCGGAGGGCCAGCAGCTCCCCGGCCCTGCACCTGCCGACGCCCCTCACGTCGCGCCTCTTGCACGTCCCCGTCCGTGACGGCGGCTGAGCCGATGGCAGCAGAATAAGCAGAAGTCGTTTCCAGCGGGACCGCGCAGATCAGCCCACGGTTAGGGGCTGGCGCTCCGTCCCGCGGGCCCCCATGTCTCAGTGTGGGATTCCGGCTCCCTCTTCGTTCCTTTAAAAGCCAGCCCGAGCTTCGTCTTCCCCCAGTGGTTCCAGTTCTTAGTAACCACTTCCTCCTAAAAATACACTGACGCTGTTCTTTGGCGTCAACCCTCTTCGCATTTGACCGCCTCCAGGGTGACGCGACGCTAGGGAATCCCAGATCTCTGTTTTCAGCCTTGGTCTCTGTCCCTGGGCCTCAAGCCCGTCCTAGTCGATACCCATGATCTCAAACTCAACCTACGCAGATGAGAAGTTATCATCTTTCTTCCCGCTGCGCTGTCACTCTCTCAGATCCCCAGGTGTGCAACCTGCAGTCACTCGTGAGCTTTCTGTCCCTCTCTCCTTTCCCTGTAGGTCTGCGGAGTCTCCCTGAGAAACGCCTCCTCGCCTCCTCCCTCTTTTCCCGTCCTGCTGCCATCACCCCGGCTCAGGCCTTCAACAGAGTTGACCTTCTTGCCTTCTTACCAATCTCTAGTTCGATGTACTAACGGTTCCCTGACTAAGCTTCCCAGACAAGATTTTATTGCATGTACCTCGTTGTTCAAAACCTTCCCATGATACCCCAATGTGCATGACATTCAATGACCGATGCCAGTCATCAGCCCACTGAACACCACGTCCGCTCTATGGCTCACTTCCCTGTAGCTCTACCCCCCTTTCCCCTATTAGAGCTTTCCTAATGACCCTGGATCTCCGTGATCCATTCTACGTCTCAATCTCCTCTTTATGGAGGATGCCAAGGGATCTTCTAAATCATCTTTTCCAACTTCTTTCCAGCGCAGAAACCCCTTCTTCACTACTCCTGACAAAGAGGTGGCCTCTCCTTCTACGCTTGCGACGATGAGAACATAGTAAGCTTCTGACCTTTCTTCTTGCTCCTCAACTTCTCCTTCATAGATTTCCCTTTGCCATTGCATGAAGCCCCAACGGAGCCTTCCGTCGTTTTCCACCTTGCCCTTGCCAGGAGAGACGGAAGACGTGGGGACACCTGACTATGCCAACCAGAACTTCTTCCTTGGTGGTTGTAGGGAAGACGTCAGCAGGGGGTGGCTTGTCATGATGGTGGTTCTCCAAAGAGATGGTCCTTCGTTGCGGTCCATCCAGACTTCTCCTGTCGCTCGTGTCTCGAAAGAGACACTCTCAGAATTTTGAATTGTTAGTGTGTTCCTCCTCTTGGCCAGATGAAATCTTACTCTTTGCACGTTCTATACGTCGTTCTTTGGTCTGTTCATTGCCCCAACAATCAAACGAGTGCAACCCTGTCCCTGCGGGAACGTGAGACAAAGGAAGATAGGTACCAGGGATCACCTCTGGCTTCTGTCCTCTCAGCTACGCCTCCTTGGTGTCCTAGTGTCCCTGGGTTTTTTCCCATGACAAAGAAGGAGCCTATGGCAGAGAAGGCTTAGGTCTGGAAACTCAGTTTTGTCAGGACGTGACAAATGCTGTCCATATCGCACTGTCCAAATGCAAGACTCAGGTATGAACTGGAATGCTGACTTACCGATTTATAGTGAAAAATATGACTCAGGTCGGCCAGAATTCGTGCGCTTCCTGGCCGCCATCACCAAGTGTATTCCCCCAGTCTTTAGACGACGGATATTATCGCCGATGAGGTTTCCTCCTTCTCCCTCAGAGTCACATCCAGTCCTAGCGCCCTATATTTGGCTCACCTGTCGTCACTCATGCACAGACAGCATGTTGGGTTAGCCCAGTAGCTGGTTAATCCCACTCATACAAGTGGATGTTTCCCCCCCACTAATCCTCAACGAGCAATCCCGTTTCCCCATTCTTGGAGGACGTCTCATTGTAGCTCCCAAGTACCGCCTGTGTTCTCAACATTCTGGTTTCTTTCCCCATGGAATCTTCCTGATTTATTATTATAATTTATCATTGCCCAGTACTTAATCCAACTGCTTGGAACAATTGCTGATAAGAGCCAGACACTCCATCTTTCACATTAGTTTTCAACAGTAACATCGCACAATTGGCCACATTTATCTTGCCATGTACCAGAACCCTAAGGTTGAATCAAGACTTGTAATTAGAGAACTTGAAAAAAAAATTGTAAGCGTATTATGTCACGTTTTAAACCAGTATAATAATATTCTTGTCTTCAGGCCCTCATTTCAGGATATTCATACCTTTTAAAAATTATGATTCTGTCCAAAATACTAGTGATCACCCCCATCTTTGTAGAATCTGAAAATTTGGCAAGCAGGGTCTTCAATCCTTTCCCTAAAGTCACTCACAAAACCATTGAACCTTACTGGATTCCACTGTACAGTCCCTGCCTTCTTTTCCGTTAGTTAGTCCAAAACACCACTGGGGACTATTCTGTCCTTATGCTTTGCTTGAAAAATGCGACTTCTCACTCAAAGTTCTCTCCAAGTTCCCAAATGTGCCTTTAAGTTTTGTCTTTTCAAGTCCATGTTGGATTACTTTTATATCTTCTACGGCGTGGGCTGTCCTCCCAGATTACTCATCCCCGCCCATTCATACTTTTTCCACTCCCCTCCCCTACCACGTCCCCTTTGCCTAATCCATGCACCCACCTTCCAATTCTCTTTCTTTTTTTTAAAAAAAAAACAATACAAAATGTTACATACACTCAAATTGCCCAATTTTTAAAAATTGGATAAAATTAAAATCACCTGAATGTTTCTCTCTACTTCAAATCTCTTCCCTTTTATCCCCGAGGAGCCGATATCCTGACTATGATAGTTATCATTTCTTTGCTACACACGCATAGCTCAAAAATTATTTGTAGCGTTGTATTCCATGCCTTTAGACTTTATATAAATGGTACCATAAGACTTGATATAATGCTTCTGAGGTTTATGTTGGGGTAGGTAGTCCCAATTCGTTTGCTTTTGGACGGATAGAGGGTTCCCCTACATGACTAGGCCACGGTTTGGTTATGCGTTCTTCTTTGGATGGACGTTTACTATTTAAACAGTGTTAACAGTGAACAATTCTTAAAACCAGTGTTTTTGGCCGATGTGCTAGTATCTCTCGTGAAGTCCGCTAGGAGAGAAACAACTAGTTATGGGCTCCTTTCAGGTTTCTGATGTGCCACCAAACTGCTCCCCACCGTGGTTGTACCAACTTACACTCCCTCAGACATGCTTGAGGCTCCCAGTGGCTTTATATCCTCACCAATGCTTGCTTTTATGAGATTTTTGAAGTTTTTGGTTGATTTAAGTGAACCATATCTGACTGCTATTTCAGTTTACACTCCCTGCATTGTTGGGAAGGGCAACGGATCATTTTTTTGTATTTGTTTGCTATTTGCCATCTGGGTTTCCTCCTCAGTAAGATATCTGGTTATGGTTTAGATTTTTTTC